TTGTCTTTAATGCATTTGTGTTCATTTTTCTTTTTCTTAACAAATAATGGTAGTTGTTTATTTGTAAGCAGCAAATTACTGTTGTCATTTGGCTGCACATTTAAATGAAATATAGTCCATTAATGTTTTGGCAGCACCTATTACAAAAATTCTGTATCTGTGGTTAATAATAAAAATAATTGTTTAAATTTGATCTGGGCAGGAGTTTCCCATACTCATGAGAGAACATCATTTTACTTAATCATGTAAATTAATTTGCCTCTCAGAAGCCGAGGATGTTAAGAAATAATCTTTTTAAAAGATTCATAGACAAATATTACATAATATAATCATTCATGAGATTTTACCTAAAAGCTAAAAATATTTCATGATAAAGTATTTTAAGAAGGTGAAGGACTATTCTGTGATCCAAAGAGGATGAAATCAAACCTGGACCTCTTTTTTTTTTTTTTTTTTTTTTTCCGAGGAAGATTGGCCCTGCACTAATATCTGTTGCCAATCGTCCTCTTTTTCTTTTTTCTCCCCAAAGCCTTAGTACGTAGTTGTGTATCATAATTGTAGAGTTGTAGCTTTTCTACATGGGATGCCACCTCAGCATGGCTTGGTGAGCGGTGAGTAGGTCCATGCCCAGGATCCGAACTGGTGAACCCCAGGCTGCCAAAGCGAAACGTGCAAACTTAACCACTACACCACCAGGCTGGCCCCTGAACCTCTTTACATGACTTAGGAACTGATTGAATATGAAAATAATAACCAAAGGACTTACTTTCACCTTTTCCTTCTGCTAAGTACAACTAAAACTATGAACATTACATATAAAACAATTACAAGATGCTGAAGGGGAGAGAAGGCCAACCAGCTAGAGACCTTGGGACTTGAGGAATGACACAGCAGTGATTTCCTTTGGTTTTCTTTTTGCCTCATATACCTCATATTGGGTGCTGGAGAAACTGGCAACTAGAAAGTCCAATAAGTGCGGGGGGGGAAAAAAGCCTACTCTCTAGCCAAAGGACCAAGAAAGGCACAGCCTAGCAAAACAGAAAGCTTTTGGAAAATAACCATTTTGCTACAGCCGAACATCACAGAAAAAATTATGGTGCTGCTTCCACCATGAGCTGGCTGTAATGAGGTTCTCCCACGCTCATCATTTCCCTCTGGGAGTCGTGTCAGAAGAAGCCAGCAAAAGCATAGATCTAAATAAAATCTAGAGTCTCATAACAGTACCCGAAGTCCAGATTTCAACGGAAAATCACTCTTCATACCTAGTACCAGGAAGATCTTAAACTGAATGAAAAAAAAGATTATCAGTAAATGACAAAAGCAAGAAGACAGAGATCTTAGAATTATCTGGTGAAGACTTTTTAGGCAACCATCTTAAAAATGCCTCAGCAAACAATTAGGAGCATGCTTGAAACAAATGAAAAATAGTTTCAGCAAAAAAAAATACAAGATAAAAAGAAGAACCAGATATAAATTTTAGAGCTGAAAAATACAATAACTGAAATTAAAAACTCAGTGGATAGGATCAACAGCAGAATGAAGGGGCCAGAGGAAAGAAATAGAGAACTGGATTACAGAAGAATAGGAACTACTGAGTCTCAACTGCAGAGAGAAAATTGACTGAAAAAAAAAAGAGAGTGCCTCAGCCACCTGTGGGACTATAACAAAAGCTCTAACGTGTGTTTTCAGAGTCCTAGAAGGAAAAAAGAAAGAAGATGGCTCTGCAAAAGTACTCAAAGAAATAATGACTGAAAACTTCCCAAATGTGGCAGAAGATATAAACCTCCAGATTCAAGAAGCTGAGCCACCTCCAAACAGGATCAACCCAAACAAATCCACACCAAGACAAACTTCTGCCCATAGTCAAGTGTCTGAAAGCTAAAGACAAAAGATCTTGAAAGCAGGGGCCAGCCCTGTGGCGTAGTGGTTAAGTGCATGCGCTCCGCTGCTGGTGGCCTGGGTTCAGATCCCAGGCGTGCACCGATGCACCGCGTGTCAGGCCATGCTGTGGCTGCATCCCATGTAAAGTGGAGCAAGATGGGTACAGATGTTAGCCCAGGGCCAATCTTCCTCAGCAAAAAAGAGGAGGATTGGCAATAGATGTTAGCTCAGGGCTGATCTTCCTCACAAAAAATTTTAAAAAAAGATCTTGAAAGCAGTGAGAAACAACACCTTACCAATTTGAATGACAGATTTCTCGTTAGAATCAATGGAGGCCAGAAGAAAGTAGCACAACATTTTTCAAGAGCTGAAAGAAAAGAACTTTCAACCCAAAATGCTAAAACCAGCAAAAATATCTTTTAGGAATGAAGGGAAATCAAGATATTCTCAGATGAAAGAAAACTAAGAATTTATCAATAGCACATCTACCATATAAAAGAATGGCTAAAGGAAGTTATCTAACAGAAATGAAATGATAGAAGAAGGAATCTTGGAAGAGGGAACACTATTCAGTAATCAAAAGTATGGATAGACTTTTTTTGTTAAAACTTTTGAATCTTGTAAATTATAGTTGACAATTGAAGGAAAACTATAATGTTGTCTGATGTGGTTCTCAGTGTACATGCAGGAAATACCATAAACCATGGTGGAGAAAGGGACATCAAGGGAGGTATGATTTCTACACTTCACCTGATTGGTAAAATGACAACACTAGTAGACTGTGATAAGTTATGTATATAATGCAATACCTGGAGCAACTACTAAAAAATATACAAAGAGATACACTTAAAAAAGATAGATAAATCAATATGGAGTTCTAAAAACTGTTCGGTTAACCCTCGGAAAGGCAGGAAAAGAAAAAAAACAGCAGACAAAAAATAAAATGGCAGACAGAAGCCTTCACATAGCAGTAATTACATGAAATGTAAATGATCTAAACATACCCATCAAAAGACAGAGTTTGTCAGAAAGGATTAAAAAACATGATCTATATGACATCTATGAGAAACTCACTTTAAAACAATACAGGGATGTTGAAAATAAAATGATGGGAAAAGATATATCATGCAAATAATCAAAAGAAAGTAGGAGTGGCTTTATTAATATCACATAAAGTAGACTTAGGAGCAAAGAAAATTGTCAGAGACAGAGTGGGACATGATATAATAATAAAAGAAGAGTCCTCCAGAGACGAAGTCAAGATGGC